AAGCACACCAAACATTTTTGGACAAGCATTCGAATGAAAATTGTTATGACAATCATTATATGATATAAAAATATATATCTTATTTTATTATACGGATCATGCTGAATTCAATAACTTAACCGGATCGGAATTATGATAATAGCTGTAAGATCATGGGTAGGTGAGAACGGGCCGGCCCGTTCCCCACCCTAGTCATGGGTTAAATTTTAACCCAGAACTAGAGATGGGCACTATGCAGCATGGTGCTTAATTGTCACATATTATAATTTATATAAAATTAGCGTCCGATGTGATTTTCATAATTTTAATAATGTGACAATTAAGCACCATGCTGCATAGTGCCCATCTCCACTCAGAAAATCAAGGCCACGGGTCTAAACTTTAAACCGACGAGAATCGGTCGGTCTATCGTCCCGCAGCAATCGGGTCACCGACCAGCAGAAATCCACTCAAGGAGGTACGAAAGAGGCGTGTTAGATTTGGACGAGTAGTTAAGGAATGAATGTAGTTTATAAGATATTTATGACTTAGGTATTTTATTATTATGTAAATCTGGTGTTATTATTCCCGAAGGGCCAAAAGGCCTTTATTTATAATTGTTATTTACATTCCTAGGAATCTTCCATATTCTAAAAATCATCAATAAACCCAATATCGGCCTTATAGCCAGGATTACTAAGATTCGCCATTTCACCCAAATCATCCTAATCCTCCAGATCTGGCAGTTATGGCATATCCGGATTTCTGGGCGGGAAACCCAAATTAGGATTTACCGAGTCACGTAGTCACGCGCCTGCCGTCAGGTCACGTTTCCGGTTTCACACCGTGGCAATATCAACTTTTTATTGAATTTATTATGCCGAATTAATAACTTAATCGGATGGACCGAAAAATTATTCGGTTAATTTTTTAATAGGTGTCCCAGGAATTATGAAAACAGCTGTAAAATAAAAATTTTGTTGAATTAGGTCAGGTAAGTGTCGAGCGATCTTTGCTCAAAGTTTAAAACACCAATAAAAAGGTGCAGCAGTCAAATTATATTTTTTCTTTTAGTAAACATTTCTTAATAACTATCTGCATAACTTAATCTTTTTAATGAGTATATTAATGACAATGCTTTGCCTGTAAATGGAAATGTTGAAGTTAACATATTTATCGATGGTGATTTAGAAAATAAGTCTAATACTGCAGATACAATAAAGTTTGCTGAAGCAACATTCTAGAGATATTTGTATATTATTAAATTTATTTATTACACAGTAGAAAAATGATAACCGACAACCTAATAGAATATTAAACATTTTATCTGCTGATAAGAATAACCCGATAAAAAAAGGTTTAATCTTAATTAGCATCTGCTATTAGCTAATTTTTGATAATGAAGATATGCTTTATATTCATCCTTTTCAACTCCAATCCCATTTTGATAACAATATCCAACATTATACATTCCATTAGTGTTTCCCATATCAGCAGCTTTTTTATAAAAATTGAAAGCTTGATGTTCATCCTTTCTAACTCCAATTCCATTTTGATAACAATAACCAACATTGAACATTCCAACAGCAATTCCCTTATTTGCAGCTTTTTTATAATAAACAAAAGCTTTGTTTTTATTCTTTTCAACACCAATTCCATGACGATAAAAATAACCAACTTGAGACATTCCATTAGCATTACCCATATCAGCTGACTTTTGGTAATAAATGAATGCTCTACTTTCATCTTTTTCAGCTCCAATTCCATGTTGATAACAGTAACCAACACTATATGTTCCATTAGCATTACCCATATTGGCGGACTTTAGATAATATATGAATGCTCTACTTTCATCCTTTTCAACACCAATTCCATGACGATAACAATTACCAACATTAAATAATCCACTAGCGTTACCCATATCTGCAGATTTTTGATAATAAATAAATCCTTTATGCTCATCTTTTTCAATTCCAATTCCATATTGAGAACAATAGCCAAGATACAACATACCACTAGCATGTCCCATATCGGCTGATTTTTTATAATAAAAAAGAGCTTTCTTTTCGTCATTTTTAACACCTATTCCATTTCTATAACAATAACCAATTTTATCTATTCCACAAGGACTATCCATGTTAGCAGACATTTGATAATAAAAGAATGCTTTATGTTTATCCTCGTCAACTCCAATTCCCATCTCATACAATTGGCCAAGATCACACATTCCATAAGAATTTCCCAAATCAGCGGATTTTTTGTAATAAATGAATGATTTACGTTCATCCTTTTCAACCCATTTTCCATAACGATAACAACGTGCAAGAATAGTTAAAAGTATAGAATTTGTTTGATTATTTAAACATAAATTAATTAAATCTTTTGGTTTTAATTGATTAGTTTCTAAATATTTTTCTATAGAATTTAAAAATTCTGAATCATAACTTCCTTTAAGTACTTCACTTTCATGTAATTTACATAATTCATCAATTATTTTCTTATATATGAAATCTTGATTCTCATTAATAATGTGTAATGAATATATTTGTTGTTGTAAAGAATTATAATCTTGTTTCGGATAGTCGTCTTTTACTGTAAGTGAATTTTTGTAAACATTTTGTAAATCTTCATTTGACATTTTTAATGAAAACGAAGGTTATGTTGAATAACTGTAATCTATTTATGGACTTAAATAGTTTTACCGAAATATTTATACGTACTTAGTACGTAATTGTTTTATAATATAAACTTTAGTAACTGTTAAGGATATAGGATTCCTGTACCCATGTGAGTTGGCGAGTTTTCCTTATAGTTTTAAGTGATTATCTCTATGCTTTATTTCGGTTAAGACCGTATAATAATATATATATATATATAGGCAGAATAATAAATTTGGTTACTTAATAAATAGAGCCATTCCATTTTTGGGCATCTCACTCCGTGCAGGACTGAGAGTCACGGTTCATAATCACAATAAGCTAGTACATATAAATGATCAATAAATTTTATTACATAATTGGAAAACACCAGTAAAATGAGTATCAATAGGGAGCCTCCCTATTGCTGCCAGCTTTTGGCTCCAAAAGAGGTCAATAGGGTATCAATAGGGATAATACTCAATAGGGTACCAATAGGGTATCAATAGTGTATCAATAGGGTACTAACTATCCAATAGGGTTTTACCGATTGTAAACTACTTTGCGGAAATCTTGAATTTTTGCGATAGTATTAAAATATTACATATTTAGCAAAGTTTAGCGATATGATAGGATGATATTAGAATGTCAAAAAAATTTTTTATATTAAATTGCAAATATAGTTTCTCTCTAGCCCTTTATAGACGACTATAAACAATTATATTAGGCTTTTAACAATTTCATGTTTGGCCAAAATTTTTTACGGTTTGGTTTAATCTATTACAGAATTTCGAAATACAATTATAAGGATCATAAATATTTTGAAAAAATTAAGACTATTATAATGAAATAAAATTCGTTAGACTATACAAATTCGTTAGACTATACAAATAAAAATTTAAATAACATAACCTAGCGGATTGGATGATTTTTTACTGTAAAATTAAGTTTTGTTATTACTGTTAAGAATCAGAACCTCCTAAAAATTCTTTTACTTAGTTCAGCCAGTTTAAAGATAATTTTGGGCTCATGACCCGCATAATTCAGATTGAATAGAATAATTTTTATTCGATTAGACGGTTCTAGCTCGATATCCTATAGTTGGCAACATTCTTAACATGAATGAGTTATAATTTTGCTTTATTATTTACGTAACTGTTGCAAAGGCATAATACACATATCTACTGTATAAATATGTTCTGTATACAAAAAAGTCTATAAATATTAGTTATACGTACAAGACAATATTACAGTAAAGGTTCTTGATAAATTTTCATACAATAAAAATTTGAACTGCTAAATTTATATTATAGTACATAAATTAATAAAGAATCAATATCGCTCAAATAAATACGGGAGAAGGAAAAACTCTAACAGCCGTTTTGCCGATTTGTCTCAATGCCCTTTTAGGACGAACCGTTTTTGTTATTAGAATCATTAAATAGATGAATATTTATTCTTATTATACACTTAATATATTGAATAATCCACCTATAAGAGAACAATAAACTGTTTTGTCAGCAATTATTTATAATTAGAAAAGGTTGCATTTTTCATTACTACCGCATCAGCTAAATAAAGTCATAGAGTATTATTCATTATCTGAAGTCTCTGCATCAATTTGATTAAGATCTAATTCATTTGCACAATTTCATTGGCTGGCCGATGGAATAGTTATATGAAAAGTAAGTTGATCGAGCTTCTTAATTTTTGTCAAGACATTTTCACTATAGGATAGTTTTTCTTTGTTACGAACTGCAATATGATAATCGTCATAAATTTTCAAACTTTTAGCGATAAAGTTTTCCAGTGACTTGAGCAAAGATTGAGATTTTTTAAACTCCGAGAAGTCACTGGCTTCAAGGTTAGAGATGGGCAAGTTTAGTAAAGTATTATTATTTATTATTTTCGATCATTTTTTGCGTAATAAGTAATAATAAGTAAAGAATTATGATATAAGCAAAAACTTAACCTGATCAGCAAATTTTTGAGTTTAAAATTTGCCTTCCAGATTACATTTGTAAACGTGATAAGTAATAATTGTTCGCATAGAGAATAATTAGTAATAATATGTATGTGTAAATATTGGGGTAAAAATAAGTAATTAATACTTACATTATTACCTTGCCCAGCTTTATTCAAGGTACTTGCTAAGTTTTTGTCGCCAAACTCTACCAGCAATGAATTGTTCGATATTTTCATCCGTTGGATCACTACAGTACATATCGATATTAACCCATATATAACACATTATGTGATATTAAATGGTGGGCTGATACGTATTATTTATATCTTATGTTCTGTACATACCAGTTTTTAACAAGTAAATCCTTGGCAAGAGCTGTCATATCCTTATTAAATGTACATCGAAAATTATCAAAGTATTCACGTGTTTTCCAATATAGCATTTTAAAGTCTTTAGTCACTGGGTCTATTGATGGAACAATTTTCTTAATCAGTTTTTCACGTATTTTTTTAGAAGGATTTTATGTGCGTAAAAGCAGAAGCTTGCATTGTTCCATAACAAGATTTATTATAATTTCTTTATCTGTCAGTTCTAAGAGATTAACTTCAGCATAATAAATAATAAGCATATAGCTTAGAATAAAAATTAATACATATGTGTATTATAAATTAAATTAAGCAAACCTTGTTTGGTAAAAACGCTGTTAAACTTTGTACTTGTGTGATCAAATCCGGTCGTGTGCATAGCTATTCAACTAACAATTGCTCATCAAAAAAAGTTAATTCTTGTAAATTATTATTAGATTGTCAAATAGCTATATTATGATGAGAATTTACTGGCGAATGTGATTTATGTTGGTGTCATAAATTTGATTTTAAATCATTTACTTTTTGATGATTGTAAGAATGTTGTTGTTGTGAAGGGTCTTTATCTTAATATGTTGATGAATATAAATCCAATATATTGTCTAATGACATTGTAGTTGCTCATAACAAACTTTTACGTTATTGTTCTAATATAATAGAATTTTCAGATATCATGGAACTTGCTTCAGAATTATTTGTATTATTAAATGAGACTTGATATTTTTATTTAAATGAGTATTGTATATCAAGTTTGAATTTGTGAAATTTGATTGAATTGGAATGTTTGATGGTATATAATCTGAATTATGGACTAATTCTGGATCGATGTTATATGATGATCTAGAATAACTTGTATAACTTGAATAAGCATTATGATTATAAAAGTCTTGACTTCGTTGAATTGGCTGAGCTATATTGTTAACTGGTGTAGGTATAGTATTATTTAAATTCATCATCTCAAATGGAACACAAGCAAGTTCATTAGATTTCTCTAAAAAAAAAATAAATAAATAAATGACAAATCAAAAGTATTTAATACAATTCTTATTAATGCACATATTAGTATGATAAATTTTATAAAAAAATTGCCATTTTCATAAATAGTTTGTCTTAAATGTTTATTAGATATCATTTGTTGTCCAGAAGTCTCTTTGTCAGATAATCCTAAAAGTAATAATATTTACTAATATTAATATAGCATTAATATTAATATATACTTGTTTTTATAAGTATTTACCAATAATTTCTTTTTTTTCAATTTCTAGTATTTGCAGTTTTTCCACCTCTAGTTCTTGCCATATTTAGTAAGAATTTTTTTTATAAAAAAAAAGATTTCTTATTTTTATTTTATATAGATATTGCAGTTTTTCCGCCTCTAGTTCTTGCCATATTTAGTAAGAATTTTTTTTTATAAAAAAAAAAGATTTCTTATTTTTATTTTATATAGATAAATACATACACAATTACATGTTAATATCTTTATTACATATGTACATAATTAATATATTAAACTTTGCAATCAAAATGTCATTGTATCATGTGAATCAAATATTATATATATTAATATATATATCAAATTTTGCATAAATTTTTTTATCTGACTTATTCAAAGTATGTCTAGACACTGGCTTTTACGATTTGAAACTTCACAGTTTTGCTTAAGAGCACCTAAAACTACAAAGCATCCAACTTTTAGATGAGAAAATATTTCAATAATGAAAATGATGGGCCACAGCAAGAAAGTTTAAATAAAATCCAAAATTGGCAATATGAAAACCAGGAATTTGGAGATAGCAATAACTTTAATAATACCAATACTGAAACAAAATCCTGATATAGTGAACCTAGAAATGATAATTCAACCAATTTGAACTAGAACGATATAGAATATAATGATAAGTCTTGCAACACTAATTTAGGTAATAATACCTCTGAGGATGAACCAACTTTTGTCGACACTCTAGAAATATTTGATGAGACAAATTTTGATATAACATGGAACCTAGAAGACCAATTTGGCATATTTGAAAACTTTACGATGATGGCAATGTTTATATGGGCTGTAAAATATATTATATGTAAGTATTTGCATAAAATTTAATATATTAAATGAAACATTTAATTTTAATTACCTTCTCTTTTTTCTTAGCAAAAACTGCTTATCATGACCTGATTCAAATTTTACTTCACCCACAATTTAATAAAAATTATTTGATTACTAATTTACAAACACTTAAAAAATATCAGGAAAAACTTCCTTTAATACAAATCCAAAGTTACAAGGTTCCAATTAATCCTTGAAGCACACTATCTATGACCAAACATTTTGCAAAAGTTTATTACTTTTCTTTGATTGAGTATCTACATCGCATATTAAAAAATCCTAGTATTAGTTCTCACTTATACTTTGGACCAGGAATTTTTTAGAGTCATGTGAAAAACTGTGAGAAGGAAATCTTTAGGCGAAATCACCTCTTTTTGGCCAATCTCATATAACAACTTCACAAGGTAAATAATAAATTAAAATATTTATAAAATTAAATAGGTTAATATTAATAAAAATTTTTATTTTATTTAAGATCTTTTAAATGTGGCGATTTCGTTCAATATTATTCATATGAAAGTTTACAACATAGTCAATTTCAGTCATTCATTGTTAAAGACAACTCAATGAAAGTTCGAATACAAAGATTGCTTCTTTATAATAAAATTCCTCAAAATTTATGTTTTTTAGAACGTGCATTTCAAGCTCAAAAATAATGGTTCTTAGTAGAAGAAATGAATAACTATATTATAAAACTTTCTTCTTTATTACAGAAAATTGTAGTCTGGCTTAAGGATCAGCCACCTCTGCCATTTTTTGACTTTTCTGTTAATGAAATTTTATATTATTTTAATGGGTCTTGGAAGTGCCATCCTATTAAATTTCAAAATCAACTTCTAGCAGAATATATAACAACAAATTCACTATCTCATCCAATTATGCCAGTGCTAAAATTCTTCTTGGATTTGTATTATGCCAACTTTAGTACTTTCCAAAATGTATATCACTTCTAGATGGTATTTATCTACAAATCAGTAATATGCCACATCGAATGAGAAAGCAATTATGTAACTACTTTGTTATCAGATTTGTGCCTTTTGGTGAAAAAATTCAAGACTTTATTAAGCCTTTTCTTAAAAAAATAAAAAAACTTGAAAAAGGTTTTGTAATAAATTTAAATGGAGCTGATTATTGGATAATAGATGGATTAGGTGTTTTTACTTCGGATTTGCCTTAGAGAAATAACATCACTTAAATATTGTGCCATAATGTATACCGAGGCTGCCGAACATATAAAGCAACCAAAGATCAATTAACAAATCTTACATTTGATATTTATTATTGTGGCCGATACTATCAAATTACAGATCAAGAATTTCAACTTATAAATCAACAAACTTCAAAATTGAGACTTTGCTCTCAATATAGATTACAAATTTTACCTGGACCATTAGATCTGATTTTGCATGACTATCATTTGCATGTACTGCAAGATGCATATTATACAATTGCGGAAAAGATAGCTAGGCTGCTTAACTGTACCTGTTCAATATTAATATTAAACAGTAAGAATAATCTGATCAATTATTAGAAAAACTTTAAAACACCAACACGATGGTCTTGCTTACCAAATCTAATTACTGTCAGCCCTCTCCAAACTGATCCTGTCAAAACTGATAACCTGCTATAATTAGTTAAAAATCGATCCACCGGGTCTGTTCCTTAATTTATATTCGATAACCTGCTATTTCTGATATTCGATAGTCCAAACGCATTAGTTCCCAATTCGTCAGACTCGGACACATAATTACTGACCAATCAGAATCATGAATTCAAAAAAGTGAGGTCTTCCAATTAATATCCTTTTTTTTTGTTTTATTATTTTATTTTATTTTTATTTATTTTTTATTATATTAAATTTTTTTATACTGCATCTGAACTCTTTTTTACCAGCCAAAATTAAATGTACATTTCTATATAAAGAACTATCATGTAACTCATATCAGTTGTAGAGTTTAATGTTGAATAAAGTTTATACTTATTTTTGGATTAAAGCGATTTTTAGTCAATCACCAATAGTCGCTACATGTAAAGTCCAAATTTTACTATATAAATCGATTAAAATCGCTTAAGTAAAATGTTCTAGAGGTCAAAATATACTTATCTAAAATTTTTATCTAAATTGGAAAACTTTTTATTAATTGACTTTTAATTTTTACGTTCAATGAATATGTTTTTTTAAAGAAATTTTA